CATTTTTTTCAGCTTTAACTTGAATTTACATGTGAGCAATAGATGATCTGTTCTACAGTCGACCCCTGTTCTTGTTCCTACTGATGATACTGAGCTTCTCTACTTGGCAAGGCCCATACGTATAGTCACTGATTATGTTGTTGGAAAAAACAACGATAGTTCCACTGAATTGGTTGTTGGTCTTGCAGAATCTCTCATGAAATCTCCTGTAATGTTTGTATCACCAATGCCATATTTTTCAACTACTAATCATTCTGTAAGAGTCCTGGTATGGCGCTGTGGGTTAATGCGCCAGACTGCAAAACCGTTTGAACTGCAAGGTCGGCAGTTCAAGCTCACCAGCTGCTCCTTGAAAACCATATAAAGGGTCGCTATGGGTCGGAACCAACTCGACAGCACTTCACAACAACAACAACACTCCTTCTTTAAGGAGCTCTGGTAGCATAGTGGTTACAAATCGGGCTGCGAACTGCAAGGTCAGCAGTTCAAAACTACCAGCTGTTCCATGGAAGAAAGATGAGGCTTTCTGCTCCCGTAAAGATTTACAGCTTTGGAAACCCTGTACAGGGTCTCTGTGAGTTGAAACCGACTCCAAGGCACATAACCGTGACCACCACGAACCAATCCTTCTTTAAGGAGCTCTGGTAGCACAGTGGTTACGAATCAGGCTGCTATCCTCAGGGTCAGCAGTTCGAAACTACCAGCTGTTTCATGGGGGAAGAAAGATGAGGCTTTCTGCCCCATAAAGATTTACAGCCTCGGAAACCCCGTACAGGGTTGCTATGAGTCAGATCCAGCTCCACGGCACATAACAGCAACAACAATCCTTTGTTTCCAGTCACTAGTAATTATAAATTCATCTTGGTTGTGAGTGGTGGACGAATTATTCTCTCTTAAAAACAATTTGTATGGAAATAGATGAAATATTATTTAAATGCACAGACATACGTATGTACACACGTGGAACCATTAGCCGTATATGATAATACTAATGTAAATAAAGGAGAAATAAAGGCCAATTTTACCTGACCTTGTTTTCACAGGATATACCTGGCATCAGCTGTCTGATAACTGGAATACAGAATTGGGAAATTAATTTTCTTGATTTTGTTTTCAACGATGTGATCAGTCATCAACACAATGTATTTTTCAAAGTGAATGGAAGATACTTAAACAGGATATTTTAAAAGAGCACCAGTTTTTTTTTTTTTTTTCAAAAAAAGACGAGCATGGATAGTACTGATAAAAATAATAACAGACTGGTGTATATTCAAGGAGCCCTGGTAGCGTAGTGGTTACGAATCAGGCTATGGTCAACAGTTCGAAACTGCCAGCTGTTGCACAGGAGAAAGATGAGTCTTTCTATTCCCGTAAAGATTTACAGCCTCGGAAACCCTGTACAGGGTCACTATGAGTTGGATCCGATTCCATGGCACATAACCACCAACCAGCAGAGTATATATTCAACTTTATTCACTATTAGCTGTTAAAGACTAGAACACTATACTAGATAGGTTCTAGGTTCTTCTTGTTGTTAAGTGCTGTGGAGTCAGTTCCAACCCATAGCGACCCTCCAAGGAGCGATTGGTGAGCTTGAGTCACCAATGTTGCAGTTCAAACCTTTGCAGTTTAAAGAAGTTCAAAACTTTGCAGTCTAGCGCATTTGATGAATTTTAGGAGATGTGATTTCTGTCCTAAACAAACATACTATAAAGGAGAATGGCAGAATATTTTAAAACTCTGTCATGCATGAGAAGCTATCAATGAAATAAGTCTGAAGTGCTTTTCTGATTCTTTAAGCAGGCCAGCCTTGTTTTTAAAAAGTAGGGTATGAGAGCTTTGATTCTGCCTTCCTTTGGTAGCCAACTGCTTCTCTGTGCTTGATTGGGCTAAAGATGTTGCTGGCTTCTAAAGAAAATACCTTACTGTATCCAACCGGGTTAACGTACACGGTGTGACGCCTGCAGAGCTTCCATTATGGTTGTGGTTTAGATTCGTGTCCTGGTTCTGTGGTCACTCAGCTTCTCCTACCCTCTCTCCTGCTTCTGAGAATTTCGAGTGTACCCAAAGCAAAGTTCTATAATGCTTACCAAAGTGATAAATGTGCTTAGATGGAAGGTAACTTCTCACCTACCTCCCACTCTCCACCCCCATACAAGCAAGCTCCTATTGAATCCTAGGTGTGAACACTTAGTTATTTCACTCTGACTCAACTTTCCATTCTCATATTTGATAAGATTGGTACCAATGAAAGACATTTTATAATATGTCTTTATATATCATATATCAAATGCTCAGAAACTAGGTTGATACAATGAATTTATGATATAAAACTAACAACATATTTTTTCTTTTACAAAAGAAATCTAAATAAAATTCCCTTGCCAATAACTAGCCTACTTGCTGAGCATTTACCATGTCCCTGTTACTGTTCTCGATGTATCCGTTAACCAACACAGTCCTCATAGTAGCTCACACTTTAAAGATGGGAAATACAAGCTCTGAGAGGCGAAGCAATGTGCCCCAAATTTCACCTACCAAAGGGCAAAGACAAGTTTTCAATACAAGCCTGGGTCCTAAATCTGACTATTATAACCTCCACGCTATCCTGACTCTCAGAGTTAAATGAATGCAAAGCATCCCTCATGTATTTAAACTAAGATATACTTTATCTAAAATATACCAACCTTTATTGGAGCAGAAGGACTGACTGCTTAAAGCAAGATATGCCTGTGGAAAGCAGCGCTGTCATTTCAGAATCTTCTAACTAATGAAGGGCAATTTCTTTGCAAGAGAATTAAGCACAAAATTGTGCAAGGGTTGAAATGCTCGCTGAAATAAGGATTACACCCACTTTGGCATGCTGTGTCAAGCACCGAGGGCATAAGAAAAGAAAAGCAGGCTGGAATGAATGGTTACACATTCAATATTGAGCCTCAGCCACATATGTGGTTAGTTTCCAAATGGACATTTACATTGCCTTTATGTGGATCAAGTTGGTGTTTATTTGCCCAAGGTGTTATTTAGATCTAGGAAAAAGACTTGCATGGCCCCAGGGAAGTTTTTCAATCACAACCTAACTAGGCTGTCCAACTTACTTTGTATCACGGGGGCTCCAAGAGTGTTTGATAAACACCATCTCTAATATTTCGTTGACTTATCGGAAACAGCAGCCTCTACTCTGGCAGTAGGTCCCAACTGGAACTTATTGTGAACTGACACCTACACCATTCATGTTGGGCTCCTAATGATAGTTAGAAGCACGGGATGCTTTCCTGGTTCCGACTTGAAGAAAGAGAGAAAAAGAGGAGCCAGAGATTATCTTTTCAAAAAAATCTAGCTTTTATTACATCACCTAAAGTAGCACAACCTGCTACACTAATGAAATTGTGTTCTTGGTTTAAAAGGGCAATTGTTAGCCCAACTTTGTTCTCACTAAAAACATTCCCCTGATCTTGTTAAATTATTGCTCTCATTTCAGATTTTTATAGCAGTGCAGTTTACCAGCCCTCATTTCTTTACGTTTCATTCATTTTCCTTGTATTGATGATTAATGGAGGATGTCGAATGTTAGAATGAGCAGGCATCAGCAATTGCAAGATCATAATTAGTTTAGCTGACGAGGGCCTCTGATAGCACTTGCATCTGGATGGAAAAATTACCCTATAGGGAACTGGCTGCTCACCAGGTCTTTTTAGTGATACATTGTGAAACACCCGATGAATCAAATGCCCTTTCAATGCCAAGAAAGTGTTCCAGTCTTGAAGCCAAAATTATGTCTGCAGAAAGCTTTCCATTTGAAATGTATCAGAGTACAATTATAACCATTGTATTTTCTTGGCAGGGACACCACTCTTCTACAGTATGGATTCAAGTTAAATAAATTGCCTACATTTTATGAATCCTCGAAATTTTGACTTATTGTGTTTGTAATTTTAAATTTATAATAAAATTGGGTTCCTGTGAGACTTTTTCCATTCCTTATCTAACATGTATATTTTATCATTAAAGACTCTGCATCCTAGAGAAAGGAGGGCTGAGTTGCAAGGCAGGCTGGCTTTTTTTTGCTGCAGGAGAATTCCATTTCCTGCCTGTTAGCATTTGTGCCTACAAATAGAGTACAGCCTGACTTTTGTTTAAAGGAGAAGTTTAACAAAATCATGACTTGATAGCAAGAATAGAACAAGCAGAGCTAATTATCTACTTTTCAGTATTCTTCGATGATTTTTGAATCTGGTGATTACAAAACTCAGGCTACTACAATTAATTTGTGTTTGGAAAATGCTTGGGATGTCCAAGTCTGAGTCAAATAAGATAAATAGTCATTGATGGGACTCTTGTCTGGCTAAAGCAGGCACCTCATAAGGGTTCTCATTAGTAATACTGTACGTCTTGTTGGCAGAAGTTTCTACTGTTCTTCTTAGCTTTGGGAAATAGAGGTGTTTTTATTCGTCTTCCTTTTGATTTTACAATTGCAAATAAAAGACCAGAATCAAATGTCTTATATTCTCTCAATTAACATACAAAAAGTAGCAGATCACATAGAATTTTAAATGGCTCAGGCCTTGCTGCATTTGTTCCAAACACTGCTATGTTTTAAAACTCAGGTAGCCTGTGTTCCTTCTTTTTCAAAATATGTTAAACATATTGCCATGTTCTGTCTTTCCGCTTATGTCTTGACACTTTTAGAAGGTAAATTTCTAACTCAGCATTTAGGAGCCATCATTAAAGGCACAAAACCCAAAGTTCAAAAAGTTAAAGCTGTTTCTGTGGAAAGCCTTTGGTGTTCCACACACCTCATCCATCACTGTAGGGTTAATTATAATGAAAATCAGTGGTGCCTATTAAACACAATTGAACCTGACCTCATTATGGGCAGTGTGGTTTTATACTGTCACTGTTGCTAGTCTAAAGACAAAACTCCTGGGTTGATTTGGTCTAACTTCACTGATCATGTGACTCACCTCTGACCATGTGGGTTTTTTTTCCCCCTGTTTCAGAGGCGGAGAGGCTCCGGTGTTTTTTGTGCCAATTGCCTGACCACAAAGACCTCTCTCTGGCGAAAGAATGCAAATGGCGGATATGTATGCAACGCGTGTGGCCTCTACCAGAAGCTTCATTCGGTAAGAACTTGTTAGTTTGTTTCAGGAAAAGCTTTATAAAGGAAACAGTAGTGTGGTGTGCAGTGTGATCAGTACTACTCCTTAGTTTGTCATGCCTGCCCCTGCAGGGTTGTTTAATACAGTCACTTTGAGTTGCTCACGTGATTAATAGTGAAAAGGGTGCAGATGTGATGGGGAGATACATTTGAGATCTTTAGTAATGCATTTACACTTCTTTTGATATAAAAGAAGAAAGTGATTTATTTCTGGGAACTTCATACACAGCTAGTCCCATTAGTGGTTATCAAGCATTCAGTGAAATTAAAGTAGGAAAGAAACTTTTCTTCAAAATTTCAAGAATACACACTTTTTTAAAAAAAGAAGACCCTCAAATGGTCACTATGAAAAACAAGGTAGGGAAGAAATTCTTATTTTCCAACTTATCTTCAGAATTGTAAGTGTCCTGTTGGCTCTTTTGGGAGATGGCACAGAGATCAGGTACACTCAAAGGGGTGGTGCTTCTAGTGGGTATTTAGGTGAGGCATCTGATTCCTGGACTACGCAGGAAAGGGGGTGAAGCGAAGTGGTTCTGGGTGGTTTAAGTGTTCCTACTAATCTCTTATGGCCCACTAAAGTACTACAATTTTTTGCACCAAATTCAAGTTCGGATTCCCCATATAATCTATACTCAGAAATCCCCAGTCTGAATAGGCATTTGACTTCCTGGCACATAATGCTTTAATGTAGCAAGTTTATCTGACACAGAGACCAGACTTTAAAATAGAAATACCCGTTTAGTAAACAGAAATCTATTTCCCTGCCTCTTTCATTTCATTTGGCATTTTACCATGCTCTTAGCACAAGCCAGCGAATAGATTACAGTTACTAGGGAATACAATTTTAGACAAAATCCCTCATAAGTAAACTATTGGAAGCACCGTTAAAAAAATAAATATATGCTGCCAGAAATATTAATTGGTGGTAAACTAAAAATCATAATTATTAGCTGATAGACTGATTCCCTGTGCTCACTGTCAACCGTACTTTTTGGTTTTTTTTAACCTCACCATTTATGCTCAGTTACAAGCTTCTATTTAATGAGCATTGGCATTAATGATTTTAATTGAACTCTGGCCATTCATAAGCCAAGACTTAAACTACTACTCTTCTAAATTATGATAATTTAACCACTGATAAAAGCATAACTCTTCTGCAAAATTATTTTAATATTTATCTCTCCAGAGACTAAATATATTTAGTTATTAATTTTTTAAAAGCAATTGAAATGCATAATGATTGTGTTTAGATTTCTTATTAAAGATTAACCCTAAAGTTAAAAAAAAGTTGTTTTTAAAGTTTTAGAGATTAAATACAAATATTAACTCTATAAATATAAACATTCTGAACAAAATAACTGCATATAGCATATCCAAATATACAGAGCACATCCAAGTATCTTCTTTCTTAAACCAGTAATTGAGTTGCTAATAACATGCATGCTATCTTTCTTTCCTTCAAAATTCCTTTATGACAATGGAAAATTCCAAAACAAATTAATAATCATATGGTGTTCAATATAGAAAAGGTACTCTCTTGATTAAGATGGCTTCTTTGTTAGAATAGTTAAGAAATATATGGTGGTGGGTATGTGCTGTGATGTCGGTTCTAACTCATAATGATCCTGTATAGGGTTCAAATCAACCTTGCAGTTCAGTGCATTATCCCACAGATAATGGGATTTTTCCATAAATTTTGAAATTCCTTCGTATACCCACACACATATATATGTGTATAGTATATATAATTTATCAATTTTTCCTAATAAGAATGTACTATATATATATATATATATGTGTGTGTGTGTGTGTGTGTGTACGTAAATGTACATTTTTATGTTGCAATTATTTCCTGATTTCAATTATCTGTTAGATAAAATAGATTTTAGACCATTTAAAGATTCCCCTTCAAAATTGATAATCTGTTGATAAGCATTTATTTATCAAACTTGTTCCCTTCATTTTATAAATCAAAGTTGGAGCTGCAAATGAAGTTTTTATTATAGTCTTATCTATGAGTTTTCATTTGCTCGCATTAACACCTGTTGAACATGTACATAAGCATATAATGTATTATGTTATGTGCCGTGGAGTCGGTTCCGACTCATAGCGACCCTGCACAGGGTTTCCGAGCCTGTTAATCTTTACGGGAGCAGAATGCCTCATCTTTCTCCTGCAGAGCAGCTGGTAGTTTCGAACTGCTGACCTTGCAGTTCGTAGCCCGATTCGTAACCACTACGCTACCAGAGCTCCTTATATAATGTATAAGCTAGCTGAAAATACAGAGTAAAGTGACAGATTTGAACCAGGGCCACAAGTAAATTTACACTGTCTCTATAAAATATGTGCTTCACCTGTTAACAAGTAAAACATTCCATAACTAATAGAAAATATTGTTAAAGGAAGAGAAATAAGAGTGGTAGGAAAAAACAAAAACAAAAGCAAAAACTCTGCCTTAAATGGCTTTGACATCTCTCCTTATGTTTTTGTGAGTTTCTCTTTGATTATTCATTCTCTGATATTTCATATTTTATAGTGACACTTGAAATTATAGATGAAGGAAACAAGCATCATTTTTCCACTACTGTGCAACTCAGTTGTTGAGAAATATTTCAGAAAAAAATACATTTCTTCAACTGACTTTCTAAATATTGCTGAATAATGTAATCCCCAAATCTGTCAAGTTTGAAAAAAACTTGTTTTCAAATAGATTAACATTTTAAGTCATCTCTGCAACGATGGTCATGAGGTATTTAGGCTACCTCGGTGTGTCTTGGTTATTTCCCTCTCTTGCTTCGAGCAAAAGGAGCTTTAGTAAATCTGTAACATAAATCCTATCCTTGCTCTTTGAAGTTAAGCATAGTTTATATTTGTGAGGGACTTTTAATACATTTTAACGTATTTCTTAATGTTTCCCTTTTATGTATTGTGTGTGTGTTCTCTGCAGACGCCCAGGCCTTTAAACATCATTAAACAAAACAACGGTGAGCAGATCATTAGGAGAAGAACAAGAAAGCGCCTTAACCCAGAGGCACTTCAGGCTGAGCAACTCAACAAACAGCCAAGGGCTAACAGTGAGGAGCAGGTCAATGGAAGCCCCTTAGAGAGGAGGTCAGAAGATCACTTAACTGAAGGTCACCAGAGAGAAATTCCGCTCCCAAGCCTGAGTAAATATGAAACCCAGGGTTCATTGACTAAAAGCCATTCTGCTCAGCAGCCAGTCCTGGTCAGCCAAACTCTGGATATTCACAAAAGGATGCAACCTTTGCACATTCAGATAAAAAGTCCTCAGGAAAGTACTGGAGACCCAGGAAATAGTTCCTCTGTCTCCGAAGGGAAAGGAAGTTCTGAGAGAGGCAGTCCCATAGAAAAGTACATGAGACCTGCAAAACACCCAAATTATTCACCACCAGGCAGCCCTATTGAAAAGTACCAGTACCCACTTTTTGGACTTCCCTTTGTACATAATGACTTCCAGAGTGAAGCTGATTGGCTGCGGTTCTGGAGTAAATATAAACTCTCCGTTCCTGGGAATCCACATTACTTGAGTCATGTGCCTGGCCTACCAAATCCTTGCCAAAACTATGTGCCTTATCCCACCTTCAATCTGCCTCCTCATTTTTCAGCTGTTGGATCAGACAATGACATTCCTCTAGATTTGGCGATCAAGCATTCCAGACCTGGGCCAACTGCAAACGGTGCCTCCAAGGAGAAAACCAAGGCACCATCCAATGTAAAAAATGAAGGTCCCTTGAATGTAGTAAAAACAGAGAAAGTTGATAGAAGTACTCAAGATGAACTTTCAACAAAATGTGTGCACTGTGGCATTGTCTTTCTGGATGAAGTTATGTATGCTTTGCATATGAGTTGCCATGGTGAGAGTGGACCATTCCAGTGCAGCATATGCCAGCATCTTTGCACGGACAAATATGACTTCACAACTCATATCCAGAGGGGCCTACATAGGAACAATGCACAAGCGGAAAAAAATGGAAAATCTAAAGAGTAAAACCTTAGCACTTAGCACAATTAAATAGAAATAGGTTTTCTTGATGGGAATTCAATAGCTTGTAATGTCTTATGAAGACCTATTAAAAAAAAAAAAAAACACTCAAAAAAAACAAAAACAAAAAACAAAAAAACTTCATAGAGCCTGCCTTATCCAACATGAAATTCCCTTCTTTTATTATTCTTTCTTTTGATGAGTAGGTTACCAAGATTAAAAAGTAAGACATATGGTCAGTGAGAAAAAAAATGAGAGATGGCGAACAGTCATGTTTTGGAACCTAGTTAAATCAGAACCATCTTGGCTAATGTGTGCTGGGGAAATTGATCCATGTGAAATGTCACCAGACTATATATATCAATACTGTGTTTGTAAAGACAGAGATTAAAAACTGTCTAGAATTTGAAGGAGTTGACATATTGTACAGCAGTATTGGGCTGGATCATTGGCCCATTTGTTTAAAAACGTATAAATTGTTTGCCTAAATGTAGAAGTATCATGAACTCCTAGGAAGAGAGAGAAATAAAATCTCCAGGATAGTGAAAGGAAAATGGCGCCCTCTCAAATCAGTCCCCTCTCGTTGACCGTGTTTCAGATTTCGACCTAGAAATGTGCGCTGTGGTTAGGTATAGTGAGAGAGCAGCAAGAAAAGTGACAGATGGTGGCACAATGGTTTTGGCTAGCCCTGCCTGTACATACACATGCACATCCTCTCTGTTATTTTTTGTCCTTTAGATGTTCAAATACTCAGTAGTCCTTTTTTCCAATTTAGGTTCATTTTGTCCAAATATATACGCATTTTTAAAAAACCAGTGTCCTCCATGCTTATGTAGTATTTTTATTTTAGCCAGGTGTTTCTCTTGTATGTGATGAACCCATTTGGATTTGGTTTTTAAGCCTCCTCTTGGTCACTAAGCTCACTTGGCACATTATGACTTAATGGAATCCCCTCAGTTCAAAAGACTAGATGTATACAAAAGTCATACCATGGGCTTAATTTGTTTAGAACACAAGGTCTTTCTCCACAAGGTAACCTGCTGTATTTATTTATTTTCTTTTGGTTATGTGTAATTTCCAAACTTTGTGGTCAGGCAGAGTCTAAGGTTTCGTTACCACAGACTGACAGTTGGTATATGTACCAGTAAATCCCTTCAGTAGATTTATACAGGTTTAGTTAAGTAGCATTAAATAGGATTCTTAGAAGTATGTCTCCATAGTACTTTTAATACTTAAGGCTTTGTAAAACTATCCATGAAGGGAAAGCTCCTCAGCATAACTGCTCAGGGAATTAGGGCTAAATAACTGAACATTAAATAATTGGTTAAAGGTGCTGTTAGTCGAACCTCAATGCTTGCTACAAGGATGTATGTACAAGGACTGACTTTCATAATTTGCATTATATTGTCCCGACCAGTAGTTTATTTTTTGCCACGGAGATGTAGAAGATATTACAAGCTACTGGATGCACTGTCAGATTAACTTATTTCATTAAAGAAGTTGGGAGAACAAATAGGAAAAAAAAAAAAAACTTATTTTTCTAGTAAATATTAATGTATTACATTTCAAATAATGGTGCCTGACATATTGAATAATTATTTTCTACAGTGTACGTATGCAACAAAGATATTCCATCATGCATTAGAGTCAGTTCTGGCTCTGCCTAGCTGTTTACATTTGCAAATGTAGCAAACAAGGTAATGAAGCAACTATTTCTATTGCGGTAGATATCTTGTGTGTGTGTGTATGTGTGTGTGTGTGTGTGCATTAAAGTTGTAAACGGTAACATGAAACAATGAAAGTTCTTGATATAACGGTATGGAAAACAAGAAGGAAATGAAAATATTTTTATGCCTACTTAGGAAAAAAAAGGGTAGCACTATTCATTCCAAGTACTTTTCTTTTTTTTTTTAATTTTTAAGCTCGTAACTCACATTGTTATGCTTAAAATGATAAACATATATCCTCTTTTTATTGCTTTGTCTGTGTTTCAAATGAAACATTTCAGAAATGATTTTGATACGTGCTGCTGAAATCTGCAGCACTAGTGTTTTTATTGCATTCTGTAGTTGCATTTGCACTCCATTTTTACATTCATTCGCAGTTGCTTTGTATTGTTTTTGTTGTTGTTGTTTGGGTTTTGTTTCTTTTTCACAGTGCCTGGTCTTCGTTTCTTAAAGTTGGATAGCAGGTAGAATTCACCCAGTTTGTGACTGTTGCGGTGAATGAGTTAACTGTGTCTTTTGATGTTGTGTTGTCATTTCCATTCTTACATTTTCATTTTCATGTTTAAAACAAGAGAGAGAGAGAAATCAGGACTAAGTCCTCTGCTTCAGTTTCATTGTTAAAAGGGCCCCATTCTTATCTCACATGTCACGTAGCTGTAATATTCATATAAGCCGAAATAAAGAGGTGAAATGAGGAGCTTTGACAGTAAAATGATGGGACATACATTCATCTTTCTTAAGAACTTTGATTAATGCATCTCAGAATGTATAGGTAGACTTCAGAGGTGGCAATTAAAGATCTTAAAAGAAAAAGAGAGAGAGTTCCCAAACAACAAAATAGTGTTTCTTTTTTTTTTTTAGTAAAAAGAATAAAAACAAAATACGTTATTGCCATCCTCAGTCATCTTTACCTGTGGACTTCTCAAGTCAGCAAAATATCAAAAGTTTGGTTAACTTGGGCGATATTGCAGGTATTTGGGCAAAACTACTCCCTAAGCAATTTCTCCACTGTGTTACACACAAATAGGTTGCTCATTTTTAACTTGTATACCTTCTTTCTTCCTTTCATTTGATTTTTTTTTTCTTCTTCTTCTTCTCAGACTTAGTAGCAATGACTAGCATTGGATAATACATATCACCATTCCTGGAATATTTATGGTCTACTTTAGGTAGAATATTCATGGATAGTATTGACACAATAGATCTTCATACTCCTCTATTGTTGATTATTTTATTTTCATTTTTACTTTTCTTTTATACTTATAGTTGGTAAGGAAGAAATTGGGCTTTAAAAAAAAAAAAAGGCTAAAACATATCATAACACTAAGATAGCCCTTTTTTTTTCCCTTCACTCTATCAAAGTATTTGTTCCATCTCTGAAAATCCTATATTATAAAAAAAAAAAAGGTTTTGTTTTAATATTTTTGAATAATTTTATCTTGAAGTTTCATTTTTAAACGAGCTACTTAGGTACTTAACCTTTGTTTTTGTTTTTTTTGTGGGTTTTTTTGTTTGTTTTTTTTTGTGAACTTTCAAGATGATTTAGAAAATCTCACTCTTGTAAAAGATTTCCCCAATGACAAAAATACTATATGCCAGCTAAACTAATATGCCATTGAAAAACTGTTGGTCTTTGAAAATGATTACTCATGTATATTCTGGCTCAAGTTTCACATCAACCCTGAGGTCAGCACCAACTCGTGCATTTTCTCTTTCCGGTTTCTCGCTCTCTCTCTCAGCATCTCTCACCCACATATTCGTCCTGTTATTTGGGATAGAAAAATCATAAAGAGCCAGCCCACCTCGGAAGGCTGTGGATGGAGAGACAACACGTGACTCTTATGTGTATGAGAAAAAGATGGAGCTCTAAACGTTTTCACGTTAACTCTGTAGTTCAAGAGGAAAGAGCGTGTCCAATTCTTTCTATATGACATATTGAGATGTTTGTTCTTTGTTTAAAAGAAATCAAACTGTTAAGGCAATGATGTTCTGTTCTAAACTGTTCTGTTTTAGTAAAGGTAGATTTTAGAAGACGAGCATGGGAATTCTTTTCTAAGGTAATATTAATGAGAAGAGGAAGATTATTCTTAACAGCTCTTTGTTAAAGCCTGTGGTAGCACATTATGTTCATGATTGCACATGTGCACATAATCTATTATGATCCAATGCAAATACAGCTCCAAAAATATTAAATGTATATATATTTTTAAATGCCTGAGGGAACACATTTTTCTTAATAAATTGAAGAGTATCAATAATGCTATTGAAATAATTATTAGCCTTTTGGTGTGTGGCTGCAAAACATCACAAAGTGATTTGTCTTGAGACCTCTCAACTGACTGCCTGGTAAGTTAGTAAACATTAACGCATTTCTAGAGGTGAGCTGTGTGCCTACCATCAGCGATGGAAACAAGGAGAAAAGAAGTAGGTGGTTTGCTTCTGGCTTGCATGCCAGCCCTTTTTGCCTAAAGTTTAGATGTGCTCACAACCACCTGTCTTTGAGTTGAGGGCCATGGCATCTTAGCACCTGAAAGTTTGCTGACTGTTATTAGGTCACGGGAGAAAGTTGAGCAATTGATACTGAACCTGAATATAAAATTGAGTACGCTAATCAAAGGTAGGTGCTCTCAGGTGAAATTCTATAAATGAGACCAGGTTAGGACGGGCGACGTGCCTCAGAACTTCAAAGACGAGCAATGTTACTTTTCCAGAGACAGACTTGACCGTGGGTAGAAGGCATGGCTTCTTTGGGGAGTGCTTTTGGTTTTCCATTGCTATTTCATAGCCCAAGGATTCACGTATTTCTGGTCGCAGTGCAAGTGTTGTGAAGTTATTTGCAGTAATTAGAACCTCTAGAAGATGCAAGGGCAGAGTATCTCAAGTCAGGGGTGAAGAAAATGTGAAATTCACCATTAATCCACACATCAAAACTGGATCTACTTTTTGCTCAAAGGTTGTTCTCTTGAAGCTGTAAGCTTCATTCCTTCCTACACCAGAGAAGAGCAAACGTAACTTCACCATGGAAATAATGTTTCATCAGAAAAAAAACAGCAGTCCATCCAGACCTTAAGTCCCAAAACTGGATCCCGGTTTTACTCCTGGTTGTTTTTCATTAGTATAACCCGCAGAAAATCACTTTTTCTCTTCGTGCCTCAGGTTCCTCAGCTGTAAAATGGAAAAATTTAAATATATTAATAATAATATTAATAATAATAATAATAATGGTAATGTAGTACTTGTTTGTAAAGCACTTTGAGATCCTTGGTTGAAAGGCACCATCTGAGTGCCCAGTATTATTATTCTATGGCCAAGGGGCTTATTTAAATTCTCAACTCCCAAAGGCCAGGAAAGGTTGGGGTCATTTTTGTTT